AATCCTGTGTACTCTATGTCTGACCCCCCCAGCCTTTGGGCTCTGTCCTCCCTCCCCAGTCCTGCAGTCTCTGTCCCTCTATTACCCCTCTGTCTGGCTGTCTCCGCCTCTGCACAGCAACAGCTTTTTGTTGTTGCATCCTGTTAATCAGACACGCGTTGTCACACAACCTGGAATATTACCATTATTCCCACCATGTGCTAGATCGCTAAATTACCATTTGTCCCCCACACAGCATACACTGGGGCATTTTGTTCCTTCCCTTGACCAGCAATGTAAGAGTCCCCATCATACATACTTCTCACTGCTTCACTCTGTATATGATGTTTTACATTGCATTGTCCTGCCTGCTACACTCTACGTGCTCTACGTACATCACATAGACCTAACCCCTGCACGCTATACTCTATGATGTGTATTACATAGTCCTGTGCAAATTGTTTATGGTCTTAAGTTGCTTTTTGCTGTAGCCATTTCAACAACCATTACGAAGGCTTGCCCATTTGTTGTGAACGTCAGGAAGCCCACCCTGAGAAATGTCATCGCTGGAGTGCATTCTTGTAAACAGGTAGTGACTGTAAAGAGGCTGCAATAGATCAGCAGCACTAATCTCTGGGGGGGAAAAAACAGGAGGTGAGCCTGGTCACATGGGATCAGCCTTTTTAATCATGATGTGTTCCTTGCAGTGGTAAATGGAGAATACTTTGAGGGACAACGTAGACTTCATTTTATGAATGAGCCTTAAAATACAGGCACAGTGTGAAGTAAACATATTCAGGGTGGGGGACCCTAAATCTATTTGAGCACTTGTTAACATTTGCCTAAATGCATTATTAACATACTTACATTCCTCAATGTCAGTTAACATCAGGTACCATGCATTTTTCTACAAAACCTTGTATAATGCAGGTAGACATGTTATAAATAGACGCTTAAGAATGCTAACTGCACTATTTGTTAACATTACACTCGTAATAGCACTTTGCCTACTGAAGGGATGAGATGCTCATTTGGTATTCAGTGGCCCTTTTAAAAAAAAAGTGCCTGGATCTTGACAATCCTTGACAAGAAATTGCATTTTATGCTGTTTTTGCTCAAGACTTTTAATGATTGCTGGATTAACCTTGCAAGCGAAAGATTAGTGAACTTTGAGGAATATTTAACACATTTCAGTTGACAGCTGCTTCTGTAGGAGCCGTTCTACCTCTCTATCCGCCGCTCATACACATCAAGAGTTCCACCCTTCAATGATTCAGCTAGACAGGTTGTTTGGAGGAAGCAATAGTGCCTTTAAGTCTGTTGTTCTGCATTAAGCACAATTCCCTGATCTGTTCTTGTC